TAGATGCACATTCTCCCAGAGATTTCTCCATCCCAGGGGAATAACAAGCTGCCTCGTTATGCAGGTTTATGCTGAGATGATACAAGCTTTTGCAGCAGTTGTACAAGTGAATTATATCACAACTGGGATCTCAATGTAGTGTGGAGGTAGGGAAAAAGTCTTTCAAAAAAATGGTCACAAGTAATCCCACTATCTAATTCATCTAGTGACAATGGTCCTTCTAAGTACTCACTGTTACATTTCAAACTGAACAGACTGTAATCTTTCTGTAAAATTACATGATATCTACTAATTGTTCTGGGTATACAAGAATTAAGTTTGTCTCCAGGTCATCTTCATTAAACACAATCCATTTACAGCTCATTCACGTGCTTCACAACCAAATTCAGTCTGACCTATGACATGCCTAAACTAAAGGGCAGGTTTGAAAAATATCGCACCTCTTTGTAAGTAAATCCTAGGTGAACAACTGTTAATTACATTTACCCAATTCATTTGAATACACCTAAAATCAGCTGGGCTGGGACCATCTTTCAACAATCACACAGCCTTGGTTGGATACTACTTCCAATAGGGACTTGATCTTCACTTTCAGACAAGTTTGAAATGTATTTTTCTTAGGGAGATGGGTCTCCTCGCAGTGGGCCATAGCTTTCTGGAATGGATTGCTGAAGATGCCAAACTGAGGAAATACAGACAGCCTTAATGTCCCCTCTACCCTATTTCTGCCTTGCAACCCCTCTTAGCTTGATAACTATTTATATAGGGGTTTCTGTTTTTTAAGTCAGGTGGGACAGTGTCTCAAGACTTCAAAAACAATTCTTTTTTCAACTGGCTGAAGATAAGGATCTGTTGAGGCCGCATACTCTGAAAAAAATCCAGAAATCACTGTCCCTGTTTTTCCTACTTCAGATGAGTTGATTTGACCACTTCCCTCAATTCGACTTACCCAGCAGCAGCAGCAGCTCTGGCTGCTAGAAGCCCAAGGAGATAGTCTCTTCACTAGTCAACTTTATTCCTCACCCATTTTGATTTTGTCTGTCCCTTCCCCATGCCACTCTGAAGAGACCTGGGTGCAACGCTAGCAGCCTTTGCTCTCCAGATCTGTAACATGCTGAAACTCTGCCGGTCTGCGAGCCACAGGCTGCTATGCCAACCTTTTCTCCTGCACAGCGCTGCACTGGGCACCATAAGAAAGCACTGTCGGAGTTACAACTGATGTTTTAAATTATCTATTATGAGACAACACACCACTACTGTCCCAAAGGATGCAAATAGATATCTCGCACATACTGCCCCATGCTCAGCATGTGGAAACACTTAATGCTGAGCAACAGCTACCGCCTGATCAAACTCATTTTATGCAGAGGCAGCCAGCACTGCCTGCCTGCCCCTCCAGCGCCCTGCTTAGAGCAAGATGATGTGCATCAGTCTACCCATACGGTGGTTGCCATATAATGCAAATTATTTTGATTGCTCAGGTGTGCAAATGACTGAAATAGCAAATTCCAGCAAGGACTGTTGCTAGTGAGTAAGCAGCCAGTAGGAGCTTTGCGTTCAGGGAGCTGGCAAGCTTTCTGTTTGTGTGTTGCCACCTCACTAGTTTTACATTTGCTCATATACACAAAAAACTGTTCATGCCTAGCAGCCAAATTGCATTCATTTTGCTTTTCCAAACCTGCCTGAAGCCATGAATTCATGAGTAACATAAAGAAAGAAAAAAAAAAAAAAAAAAAAAGGAATGTGGTTTGTATGATTATCTTTCAATTTACCTGCCAAATGCCGAAGTTTTAATATGCAGGCAATCCTAGGCTAATTAATTTCTGAAATTCATGCATACGTTTCTTTGTTACCTGTACCTGATCCTCCTTTTCTAGGTAGGACATAAACAACAATTTTAGAAAGTCCTGTGGTTGTTCTGCTGGCACAAACATTTTACTTACTTGTTGCCACGTTAATCTCAGCCGTTCAAATTGCTCCTTCCCATCTTCTGAGCAATCGGAGCAAGTAAATCTGAAAAAGTTATCTCCTTTGAGGTAGCTGAGCTGTTCTCTCAGTTGACCTAAAATGAATAGGCAAAAATCAATTCCTTGGTTCTTTTACAGGAAAAAGTACTGCAAAGGAGATTTGGATTTCCTGCAATATCAGGCAGAAAAGTCCTTTTTGCCTTTTTCCCCCAGAGTCCAGATACCCAGACATTTCCCAGGAAGCATCAGAACTCACTGCGATGGAAAGCACAGATTCATTTCACGGTTGCAGCAGCCATCAGTGACCAAATGAAAAGATTTCCTTGTTTCCTCTGCGTTTCTCATTCCTTCTTCTTTCCCCAGGATAACCTATATACTTCAATAAATACCTGTTTTCCCACTCTACTTTAAAAAAAAGCTGACCTGTTAAAAAAAGGTATGCTGCTGCAAAGGCTATCAGAATATACAATGATGTATATCTTCCATGTCATCTTTCCACTCACTGCTACATGTCGTTACAGCTATC